TAACTGCTGCAACGCGTTGCTCGCGGGGGAAATGTTTTTCACACAATTTTGCGACAGGGCCTAATTGAAATAGTTGAGCCGCCCACAACAACAACAAATGCGAAGTGCGCCCAATTGAGTCATTGCCTGCTAAACTGAATTACTTTATACAAAAAAAAAAAAAAAAGAAAGAAGTAAAAAACATACATAAAATAAAAAAGGAGTGAGAAAACAATTTGTCACATTTTTCATTTCTAGGCAACACACGCGGCGTATGCGCAATATCACAAATTGGGCATTTGATTTGGCTGCCGTCGCTGCTGCTGCTGTTGCTGCTGCTGGGAGACGCCGCAAATAGTTTGCCACCAAGGATGTGGCTAGCAGCAGGCTTCACTATTGCTGCGTTGCGTTGATTCGGTTGCTCTGCTTGCTTCCCTACATTTTATTAAAAAAGAAAAAAAAAAAAAATAGGAAGCCAAGTGGGGTAAAAAATGGAAAAAGGTTCAACGCGTTCAATGCGTGACATTTTGTTTTCTTGCTTTTCAACGCCATTTCCATTTGCGTTGTTTAAATTTACCAAAGCGTGTTTTTTTCAGCTTGCTGTTGTTGTTATTGTTGTTATTGTTGTTGTTGGAGAGCACTGCCAAAAGGCAAACGGCAGCCGGTTGATGATATGCGGGTCATGTGATGGGCCCACTACACATATATGCAGTGCCCAAAGGCCTATGATGTGTCTACACTGAGCGAAATTGTGATGTCTAGAAATTCGAGAGTTCATTCACTTCTCTAGCGAATCTAGATAGAATTGACAGTTCATTCTTTTCTCTACAGATATAGACCGCTTGTGAAGATGGATTACTACATCCATTCCAAAATTCTTAGAAGCACAACTTATTTTTCTGATAACTGATAACGATTGCAACTTTTTTTATCGGTGTTTGAAATTTGATTATAGTTTTGTAACAAATCTAATACTAATCAATCTGTTATCTAAAGCACCCAACAATTTCTTGCAGTGTTTGTCTGGGGTAGCGGTAACTATAACAGCAGCGATAAGCAAAGGGCTCAGCAAACGTCAAGCGACTTGTTTATTTTTTGCGACCATTTTTTGTGTTCACACTTGTGTCTAGCTTAAAGTGTGTAAGTTTTGAGTGTGTGTGTGTGGGTGTGTGTGTGGGTGTGTAAGGGTGTGGGTAGGGAGGTCTATTAAAGAAACATCTGGCAGCAGCATTTTTCTAAGCCGTGCCCCATGGCAACACCTTTTGCTTACATAACAACAGTTGGGCGTCTTTTGCTTGGTTCATATTTAATTTTTTTCTTTGGTGATTGACAAATGTAAACAAAAAAAAAATGTTGCCTGTTTTCTTGGGGGTAGGAAGGGGCAGGGGCGTGGTTCAAGCTGCAGCATCAAAAATTAGCGTGCCTAAGCCTTAATTGTGTGCGCAAAAAAAAAAAAGAAAGAAAAGAAAGAGGTTCCCACTACCGGCTGTTGTCCCATTTTTCAGAGACTTGGCCACTTGAACCCCTCACGGCTTTGTTCAAATAAACCGTAAGTTACAGCCGCAAAAGGCAGCCGGAAACCGGAGAAAGTGGAGCTGTCCAGACTGCTTGAAAATTCGGTTAAGTTGAGTTGGGAAATTCGGCCATTGTTAAGTAACCCAGAAGCATCTATTCTATAAGGAAAATAGCCACCTTCCTTCCTTTGTGTGCACTGTGTTGAATGCGCTTAAACACTTTGCCCTGAACCTTCAGTTTAAATTAACATAATTTGTGTTTCACTTGACATTTTTTATTTTATTTTTTTATTTTTTGGCGAAATTGAACCCGAAAACCTCTTTCGATTTTAATAGAATGTAACGCGCTTTTGTTTGCTGATTATTATAAGTTTTATTTGTATATTTATTTTGCTGCTGACTGGTAGCCTTTTTGTATGCCAACCTGGGGCCCTGCACATTAAGTGAAATGACTGCAATTCAAAGTAATGGCGAGCGGATGACACTTGAAAAACTTTTCAACTCCCGCAGCGCCTTGATTGTTTTTCTCTCAGTGTGTATGGCGTATTTTTTTGGTGTGGATTTGCTGGATTCATTTATTTGAGACTTGCACAACTGGCAATCATAAATCTTTTTAATTTCATTGATCAACTTTAGCTGTCTGGCGAACAAAATATATATCTATAAGAAAGTTTTTTTCTTTGCACCAAAGTTTTCACACTTGACTCCCGCCGGACAAATTCAACGTGACATTTAAATCGATGGCAGATAAATATTAGACGCCAAATCCAATTCATTTTTGCCAAAATTCAGTTGCTGAAAACTTAACGCAAACTTTGCGCTGCTGCCCTTTGGCTCCACATTTATTTATTAATGAATAAGCATTTTCTCTTAACGCAACTCCATTCTCCTCCTCCCCCGTGTACCTAATCGGCCCATAAACCAACAGGCAACAATACAATAAAAAAAATAGGAGATTGTTTAATGGACATTTCTTGTTTTCTGTAATTCATAAATATATATATTGGATTAAGGTCAACAAAATAACAAAAATAGTGTGGGTTCAGCAATTTGCTTCCAATTCGCACATTTTCCGAAATTGACAAGAAATGACAACAAACTTTGACTTATGTTGTTGTTTGGTTTGTAACCGTCATATTCCATATTTTTCTAATGCACTTTAAATAATTACAAGGTTTCTGTGAAAAGTTTTCCACATTTAACTTTGCGTTTATTTATTTCTGTCAAAGGTTGTCTTTTGGAAAATAACAATTTATATAAATTTTATATTATGTTCCCCAGTGTTTTGCTTTTTCATCTGTATCATTATTTATCGATGTCCGTTTCTGACAAGGCAACTTTTCCACATCCATAACATTGCCAAAAATAAATCGAATTTCAAAAGCAATACCTTTTATACCCTGAACCCATTACAAATGGGCAAAAGAGCTGTGTTAATGTTGTGCAAGAGTATGTAACAGGCAGCAAGAAAAGCAACAATTGTTAAGATATACCCTAACAATGAATATATAATATACTCAGACATACAATTGATCAACTGTAATCAAAACGTCATTTAGATCGGACAAGAAGCGCAGATTTGGTTGAACAAAACATATTTTTATATTAAGATAACTAATAACTGCAAACTAACATCATTTATCATATTAACAAACTGTGTTCAGGGTATCTGCTAGTCGAGTAGAGCATTTTAACTTGACTTTGACATGGATTTTAGGCATTGGGTCAACTTCCACAGTTAAGTAACATTAACTTACAAAGTCATTCAGGAAGATCTAAAATCTTCTGTCTTAAATACAATTTTTTAAATATTCTGTTTCATTTAAGAAGCACAGATTGAAAAATGAATTTGCATATAAAAAATGTAAATAGCATAATCTGCTAGTAAATGCGTATTTTTTGCGGCTATTAACTACAATTTGCTTCCACTAAAACCCTTTTATTCTATCCACAAATCTGCACATTTTATGTGCACTCCGTGGTTTCTTTATTACTGGCTAATAATTCAAATTTAGATCCCATTTTGATCAAATTTCTAGCTATAATAATAATTTAGACGCTTTTACTCGTCGCTGGAAATGACGGGCTAAACACAAAAGCATGTTTATTAAATGCAATTAAATTGTTTTTCAGCTGCATTAACATGCATTAAATATACACAGATCTTGCCCTGCACACCACCTTGGGCATTTTCTCTAATAGAATATAGTTAAAATATGCAATATTAGTGAAAAAGGAAATAGATTGGTATTTATAATTCTTGTCGATGAAGTTGCTGATGGGCTTTTAGCTGGAAATTAATTAAGCTGCTAGTTGATATCTCAGCCAGGCGAAAAAGAATAGAAACTGAAGGGCCAAAGCCCAGTTGGCAATGCGGTCGACGCTGACCCAGTTGTTTAATTGAATTGAAGCCATAAGCACTCCAAACGAGACACGTCGACAGTGGATAATGAAAGATTGTAGAGACAGGACGACTGCTGGACTGCTGAAAGCAACCAGCTAAATAACTTTAACTAATGGCAAGCATAAATTTGATAAAAACCGGTGGCATGGCCAACCATGGCTTAAAGAGTTTTGACAGCAATCTTGGTTCTAATAATTCTCAAACATAATGCAAAACATGTGACACGAGGACCAAGAGGCAGCCTCAAGTAAAAGTTGTTGACATCTTCTTAGCCAGCACGTAAAAGTACTAAACACTCCAGAATGTAAGCAGAAGAAAACGATGGAGAAGAAGCCGAAGAAAAAGAAGCAGAAGAAGAAGCAAATGTTTGCTTAAGCATGGCTATATAAATAGGGCTCCTTGCTTGCCTGTGTCTGTTGCTCTCTGCTTTTGACAGACGAGACAAGTCCCGTTGACAGTGACAGAGACCATAATAATGATGAGCATTCCGATGACGCCACAGTGGTGCAACACACAACAAGTGCCAAATGCCAGCAAAAAAAATCATATTTTTATTGAGCAGCCCTTAAAGTAAACTTTCGGAATTTTCTAAAACCCCTGTAAAACTGTTCTATAGAAATTATCCAAGTAAAAAAGAGTCTGCTGTTTAAAGTTGAATAAATATTCATAAATATACATATATATTTTTAGAAAGGCAAACTTTAAAGTCAAATTTTAGAATACTAAAATGTTAAACACTTAATGAAAATATGCAATACTCTTTGTGTACTTATTAGATTTTATATAAATATATACTTTTTAAAATTAACATTTTAAAATCAAATTTAATTAAAATATACAAATCTTTTAAATAAAATATTCTTGACAGCTGTGCCTCATCTATCTAAGGGAACTATTTTAATTTGCCAGCGACCACTGTAACAATGAGCAGGTTGTGGAAGGTTGTGTGTGACAATCGAGGAGGTTGTGGAGAGCGGGTAGGGAGGAGGAAATAGTGCGAGTCGAGCTGTGAGAGGATTTGGCATAATGTCGTTGACAAATGTCATTACACCCGCTGTTCAAGTTGGCTTTGAAGTAAAACGGCTTCTTCTTCTTCCTCTTACCTTCACAAGCAGCAGCTGAAGTGTGAGTTGGAGTAGGGGAGAGATAGCGCCTTATTTCCGTTATTGTTCCGTTATATGCTCAGAGTCACGCGAGTCCGTTGGCCTCTCGCTCAGTCATTGACAAATGTAGCAGAAGTTTTTTAGTTATTTTGCCTCTGTTTTTATTTTGTTGTTTTTTTGTTGCACTTTGCCTTATGCTTTTTTAGTGTATCTCTCGCGAATTGGCCTACTTTGTCTTTGTGTTACAGCACATATACACACACACCCATATATACTTATATATATTTGTGTGTGTTGTATATATTTTATATGTATATCCGTAGGCAATTTGGGCACACTTGTCTGACGCTGGCTTTTGTCTGGGCAGCGTCTTCTGTTCGCTTGCTCTTTCTTGCCCACACTCACTCACTCGCACACACACTCGCAATCACACACACACACACTCATGCACACACACAGATGAGGAACAGTTGCACTTGAGAGCTTTTAAGAAGTATTAGTGTTGTCAGTTAGTTAGTGGATGTGGCGAAATTAGGCAGACAGTGTTGTCTGGTGTCCAACACTTTACTTTACACACGAACTTTTGACCCCGTTTTGCCGACAACAACAACTACAACAATAACAGCTGCTTTCGCGAGTCCTTTTGTCTCATCTCGCTTTACACTTTGTGCTGCATTCATTTTAATTTTTCTCCATTTACTGATTTAGCAGATTATCGCAAACTTGGTTCTTTAATTTTTAAAGTCGCTTTCCACTGTTTGTTTTCATTTTGCTTTCACTTTTTACGCGCGCACACTCACACAAACACACAACACACACGTAAAGATTGCAATTCTTCAAAGCACTGCACTTTGTAACGGCAGATTTGAATTTTTGTTTTGGGACTTATGCACATAATCTCTTGTGTAAAAATCAATTTATTGCTTCTCAATGCACAGGGTTTAGTTGCTTATTTTAGTTAGTTATTGATACAGCCATATTTTGACTACAACAATATCCGCCACCGTGACGTTACCGCTCAGCTAGCGCCTCACGAACTGAAGCCAAGCCCAAAGCGGCGTCAGCAGCAGCAGCATCAGTTTGACGTTTGGCAACACACAGCTGTGATTTTGATTGGGTAAAACTCTCTCCGCAGCGAGGACTTTCTCTCTCTGGCTTAGCTTTGGCGCCAATTGAGTGCACGTGCCTGGCCCCAAAACAGCTGTTGTGGTAGGTCTCTCTCTGCTCACGAAATGTACCTGATTATGGGGATATTTTTGTGAGCTGCGCGAGCTTTTTGCCACTGGAAGTGCGCAGCTGGGAACAGTTGCCAGTCACATAAAGCCATAAAACGTTAATTTAGCACACAAATAAACCCCCATAAAACTTTTGTGCGTAGATAATTGAAAAAAGAAAGGCGAACCCAAAAGTTTTGGCGCGAAAGTCAACACTTGCCTCAGAAATGTTTCCACTCTGCTGCACATTGCGGTCGAAAACTTTTCGCATATATCCCAAAGAAATTTCAAGCAATTAGCGGAAAAGTCCTAAACAAAAAATAAAACTTGAAGTGTAAAATTAAATTTAAAAAATAAAAGTAAAAATTCCTAATTTCTTTTAAACTTAATTACGTTTATGTTTTTAAGTGAATAAAAATGAATTAAAAATAATAAAAAAACGAAACAAACGAAAAAATGGGTCTGCATTTCTTAGTTGTTTTTTTGACTTTCTGTAAGTGTTTAAATTGTTTTATCCCTAAAAAAAAAGAACAGTAAAAAGCCTTAATTGTTTTTAAAGTAATTTTCTTGTTATTTTAATAACGTTTTATGTTTTTTAGTACATAAATACAAAACCTAAATAAAAAAAATGCAAAAAAACGCCTGCATTTCTTTTTTCTCAATTTTTGTATTTAAATGTTTTTTGTTTATGGTTCTTGTTCCTTGTTAGCAGCAATGACCATCGTGTCCGCTGTGATTGTGTCCGGATCTGTGCGTGTGGTGTTTAGAATTATCATTGGTGGGCTGATCCTCGCCAGCCTCCTTGCCGGTCGGTGTCGTCTTGGGTTTGTCATCGTCGGCGAATTCGCGGAGATCGCGACGCATGGCGTAGGCATCCTCGCCATCGGCATAGTACTTCGGCTCCACCTCGATAATCTTGAACTTGAGGGCGTTCGTATAGAGATTGAGGGCGGCACGATTGCTCTTGCGCACATGGAGCGAGACATATTGGGCATTGAAGCACTCGACCATCGCCTGGGAGGCCTGATTCATCAGCTTCTGGGCGAGCCCGAGACGTCGATAGGAACGCTTCACTGCCAGCGAGGTGATGTGTCCATGTTTGCTTTCCTCGCCGGGCTCAGGCTCCTCCATTTTGGCCAGCACATAGCCAACGATGCCGCCCTTGTCATCCTCGGCCACATAGCTGAGCTGAGGCCAAGTCAATCCGTGGTAGAAATAATATTTCATTTGATAATTCTCCGGCAAACAAAGCAAATTGCAATGCTGCATTGTCATTAGATCCTCGGGCTTAGCACAGCGTATGTTCATCTTGATCGTTGTTGAATATTTTATCTTTAATTTTAGTATATATATATAATTAATATTTGTTTAATCGCGTCTCGCTTTGCGTGCTCCGCGTGCGTTTTGATTTTGCTCGTGTTGCTGGTGGTGATGGTGATGCTCCTCGGGTTCCTCCTGGCCCAATAGTTCCCGCACCAGACGAAATTTCGATAGAAATGCCTTCCAGATCAAAAACCAACCTGCAAATAAAACAATTTTAATTTATTATAATATTATTCAGCAATTCACATTGAAAAGTATAAAATGAGTATCCCATTACTTAAACATTACCCAACAATATAATGGCAGCTACAATGCTAACGGATGCTAATATGGTGAATATAAATGCCAGAGCTGTTTGCAGCGACATTCTATCTCTGCTTATTGCTTGCGCACATTTATTATTATTTTAAATTGCAAAACAAATATAAGTAAATACAACACGTTTCCGTTTTAATTTTTGATGAAATCGTCGCTTGCAAATAGAAAACAGCTGTTATATCGAAGTTTTCAAACACTAACAAACAGGGCTGCATGAATCACGCAAATACTAAAATATATCAAAAAATCTAGTCATGTGCAATATTTCTAAACTTATCTGCGCTATTTTACTAAAATTCAGTAAAACATCATAAAAATTAAACAAACGAAATTGTATTTATTTAGTATTTCAGACAAACTTGTGCTGCGCCCAACCACATGGAATAGTTGGGGTTGTGTTCGATTTGCTGATTTATATGAATTTCAACTGACGCTGTTTGCTACTCTTTACACACACACTCTTGAATCCATCTTAAACCTTTTTATAGCTTAATTTATGAAAAAAAGCACCTTCAATTTATAGAAATTAATGTTTTGCAGAGCACGCTTCTGAGTACTTTTCCGTCGCTACAGACACACCGGCACTAACTAGTGTTGGAAAGTGCGCACAATTTGTCAGGCAGTCCCAACAGCTGTGCGACTGTTGATCAAGTTGGCAGCACAGCTTTGGAAATTCTAACAAACAGAAAACAAAAGATGCAAGAATTTAGTGCAAAACGTGATGCTCTCTTTGCTTGCCTAGATGATGCGAGCAAAGAGCTCAAAGGCACCGCCTTAGATCAGACACGCTCCAAGCCGTACACAATTAATGCGCTGGAACGAGCGAAGAACCAGGGCCGCAAAATTTGCGCAGCTGGCAAAGCGGATCTCGTTGAGACGGAGACAGATGAGAAATTGCGTCGACTGCGGGGCAAGGAGAGCATCTTTAAAAAGCCCGAGCTGCCCATTGGACGCTGCCTGAAGCCCCGCAAAACACCCGACTATCAAGTGAATCCGCACAAATGGAAGAAATACTCCCTCTCCGATGTGGACATCTCCGATCAGACCAATTCGGCGGCAGCTTTATCCTTTCTACGAGAAATGGATGCACAGCATGGACAGACAGATCCAGCTGATGAAATGGACAACGAACCGAGCACAGCGCCGAAGGTTGAGTTCAAGAAGAAGAGCAAATTGCATCGCAATTTGAAACAATTGCAGCGCAATGAGTTGGAGGACGTCGAGGTGGATAAGCCCCAACTGAGAGGCTCCAAGCTGATTATGCCTGAATATGTGATTGGCCAGAGGAAGGCCAAGAAACAGCCGAAGAGCAAGAGTGAAACTCGCGCTGCGTGCAAATTGCAATTGTCGCATTTGGAAGAAGAAGCCGGCGAAGAAGAAATAGACGATTAATCGTATTATTTAAGAATATTTAAAATAGATAATAGCTATACCCTTACAATAAATATGTAGTTTATTTATCAAGGTCAAATTGAGTATATTTTAAAAACACTTTACAAAAATAGGTTTGTATACTGTATATGGAAAATACGTCGACTATTTCGATTAGGCTTGGCAAACATGGAAGTCGAATTGTGGGCACAAAAATACAAATTTAAATACAACTAGAGAGATACATAACTATAGATACAGATATAAATATAATTGGGAGACAACGAGTGAGAAATGCGAATCAGTCGAGTATGTGCTGTGTGTGGTTTGTGACTCGGTTGTCCTCCGCTGATCACTTTCTGGGGAATCCTGGATTGAAGTAGAGATGCTTGCTGAAGCCGTGATTCTCATAGACGGCGGTCTGCAAATGGTTTTTTCCCGTCCGCATTTTGCTCAATTCCTTTTGGGTCTTCCTCAGAATCTCCTCGATGGATGTGTTGTGCGCATGCTCGGCCATGCAATAGCAGAAGCACTGTATATACCAACTGCCCTCGACAACATCCCGATGCGTCTCATAGCCAGGCGTGCTGGCATAGCAGATCAATATATCAGACAGTGTGGGCACATTAGCAAAGGGAACACCATCCGTCTGTGTGCTCTTACAGGGCTCTTTTATTGACAACGGCGTCTCGGGCCTTTTGATTATTTTGCCCTTATCAGGTTGATCGCCACGACAGAAGGGAAACATCAGTACCTTGGGCTTGTCAATAAGATTGGGGCATTTATCGGACTGAAATTCGTTGATGATTTTCCGCACTTTGCAGACGCTGTCATCGGTGAACCGCACATGGTCCACCTCGTTGACACGCTCGCCATGCGTCATGAGGACCAGGACAAAGCATTCCGTGTCTCGGACATCATTCGAACTGATCAGCGTCTTCAGCTTCTCGAAGAACTCCTCCTGATCGAGGTTCACGTACGAGAAGACGGTGAAGCCAATCTGACGGAAGATATGTATCAGCGCTGCTCCATCATTATCCGCACCATTGCGTCGATTCTTCAGATTCGGAAAATCAACGATATTCACAATGAAGAGCACGCCACGATTGTGCTCCGATTCCATCGCATATGTATCCTGGTCAGACCTGTGTATACGATCCGATAGCTTCACCACATGTTTCTGACCCGTAATCGGTTCCGTAAATGGGGTAAGTGGTTTCTTGGCATCACTGTGGGTTAGTTGTTCCTTCACTGAATTCGGCTCTATCACGATCTGTTGCTGCAATTGTACAAATATTTCATATTATTGCAAATAATATATACCCATTCTTGAATGCACAATGCAAACGCTAGTTTTAGAAAACATCTACAACCATAAGAATAGGCCGCTAAAATTATGACGATTTATAAAAATTTAAGCCGCTTTATCTTATCTAGTTATGTTAAGCAACTCTGTTAATCGATATAACGAACGATGTATCAAGAGATCAGATCGATCGATAAGACTTGAAGTTACTTTTCTTTGATTTTCTTTTTTCTTTGATACAAAGATAGCTTGACATTTATGACGATAATTAGCAATATTTATTATTTGATATTTTATCAGTACATTTTATCACAGTTTATTGTTAATTGTTCGCTTTCAGTCTTATGCTCAGAATGGTCTGGTTAAGCTAATTTTAATTACTTTTGTTATCGATAGCTAGTTGCAACCGTGTCTGTTAAATTGCTTTGCTGAAAGATTTAAATATTTTGCCTACTACAAATAATCACTTCGATTGATTGGCATAAATGGATTGATGAATGGATCACGATAGATATGAATAGATACTCACATGGCTGACGCTTGGACGCTGCTCGTTTGCCGGCAAATCGCAGATACGGGTATCCACAATATCAGCTGATTTATTGCAGTTGTTGTTGTTGCTATTGTGATTCCGTCGCAGAGAGACGTACGATAATTCATTGTCCTGCGGATCGACTTGCTCCAACAGTTGTACTGCCTTCAGGTAGCCCAAACTATTGAGGATTGCCTTGAGCTCGGCGTAGGCCGTTGGTCCACGTGTCCTAATCTTCGTGAAGTAATTCCTGTGCTGCTCCAGTCGTACCTGGTCGGCGGTCATATTGAATTCCCGCCCCTCCAGATTCTCGAGGATGCTCTGCATTTTGGGCGTAATTAATCCGCGGCGCACTGTTTCCGTCACGAGGACGTCATAGTCGGTGTATTCGATTAGTTTCTCCATGTTTTTCAAAATGTGATTCCGATGCCTTTCAAGCATCCCCAATTCGTACTCTCTCTCTTCCACCCTCTCCTCCGCCATTGTGTTTTGTTTCTTTCTATCTATCCTTGAGTTGGGGGACGATGAGTTTTCTTTTTGTTGTTGTAGATGTTTTGTTCGTTTTATTCGTTGTTGTCGTTGAGCGCAATGCGGACGCAATTGCAGCGCAACAGCACTGGCAGTGATAATGACAAATTTGGCAGTGAGTCACTTTATCTGGCTTTCCTTTGTCTACACACAAGCACTTTCGTTTTCGTCACAGTTCCTTATTTTTTCAAAGCAAATTATTTATATATGATACGTATTGCACTTGGTTTTTTTTGCCTAAAACATAAATATTTTTACTATTGCTATTTTAATAACATTTCTTTTGAAACAAAAGGAGTTATTTGCAGTGCTAGTGGGCAGTGCGATGTACGTCCGTTCACTCTCGCTCGTATTCTAACACTGCTCTCGACTACACCCGTCAAATACACATGGCCGCAAACGTTAGTCAATGGCTAACACACCGCAAAGAAATTAAGTATATACAGTCGTTATGCAAACAGATAAACTATGTGTTTAAAAAATGTCTAATAGTCAGTAAATATATTAGAATAGGGAATTAATTGATTTTAAAAACATTTTAAGCATTAAAACCACTACAGATTGTATATAGTGGACAACAAAATCTTGCTACTCAGTGTTGGCTGTGAAATTTTAACCAGGGATGCAGTGCTCGTTTTAGCAAGTGGACATCACTAAATGCAACAGCTGCTGCTTTGTCAACAAATCAAATCCATTTTTTTTGTGATGAATGCCGAAATAAACATTAAATCAGATGATGAGGAAACTTTAATCAAGAACAAGTCCGATGGCATAATAAAGGCGCACACAAAGCGCTCGGTGCTGGAGTATCTGAAGAAAAATGGCTGCACGCACAGCAATCTGGAGGCAACCGCACGTCGGAAAAGGGACAAACAAGCTGTGATTGGTAAACTCAAACAAAGTGTGTTTATTTCATTTATTAAAATCATTTCTAAATCAACTCAGATTTCATATGCCGCAGCAGCGAGGAGGCTGAGTTGCTTGTGAATCAACAATGCGAATCCGACAGCCTGAACAACATCAATCAATGGCTGCAAATGTTGCAAAGGACAAAAGCCTCAACGCTCTGCGAATACGAAGCGGCAGCCGTAATGAATGCCATAGTCCGTAATGAGACGCAGCCAAAGCCGGAACAACTTGGTGGCATCAACCTGACGCAAGTGGCAACAACAAGGCATCCTTAATTAATTACTAAAGTATATTTTTTTTTCTTAGAGAGGCTTATGGCTTTCTGGAGAACGCTTTAATTGGGCAGCCGCAAAAGAAATTGAGCGCTGCTAGCAAAGCGTTTCTTTGCCGTGAAATTGAGGTGTGCCCTACAAGGAATACCAATTCTGTTGCAATTACAATACTAATCATTTGTCGTTTACAGCTGCTCATCGCTGAGGCCAACAACGATCGGTCGGATGATGAATCCCGGCAAATGGGAGCCGATTTGTATGATCGCCAGTTCAAGTATAGTTCTGAGGGAGCGCTCTACAATTTCAGTTTGAATCCCTTATTTTTAGATAAATAGCGTGCCTAAAAAAGTAAATAAGATGTACATATATTCATTTTCACACATATTTATTAAACATTTAAATTCAATTGTTTGTTTATCGAGTTAAATTGTACGCGTACATTTCTGTCACAATCCTTGAACTGTTTAATCTCAATCTCAATCCTACTTAATTGTAATAGGCTGCCTGCATCTTGTTGTATATCTTGTCTGTCCATTGTACGTATTTGTTTATAGATAATTATACAGACATAATTAAGTACTTTACTATGTGGTATAAACATTTGTTAGCACATTTAAAATCTAAAAACAAGGGGCTTACGATTCACACAATTACTTGAAGTAGTGTATATGAAAGTAGTATATTAAAGTATTTTTAAATTTGGCTTTCTCGTTTTTTATTTTTAAGTTATCCTCTTCTGATTTATCATTTATTGTGCATGATTGTTTTCAAGGTTTTTTTCTTGTTTTGTTTTCTGGTTTACCCAAAGCAATCAATTGTTATTTCATAGTCTAGAGTTTAGAATAGTTGTAGAAGTATTTTGTTTAAAACGTTAATAGGCATACAAAGATTTGAGTGCTACTTGGGGAGTCCAAGTTTAGCATCACAATAGATCACAAAAGACAGAGTTGATTTGATACGCCTTTGGTTTGGATTTAAGGTGTTACACATACAAAAAATTTAATGATCATACATATATTAACAATCAGATTTACATACATATATAAATACGCAATTAATATTACCACTTGTTCTTGTGTTTTTTCATCTCATTTTTAAATTATGCTTGTAATAATACAATTAAATATAATATAATTCTTAAATGTTCAGTCCAGTTTGAGCTTTTTGGTTTTCCCCTTTTTATTTTTGTTGTTTACATAAACATTAATTAAAATTAATTTAATCTAATATTTATACGTTTGAATTCTACAAACTGAAAAACATGTGAACTGAAAGATAAAAATACACAAAAGCAACTGAGATATGATGCAGTTTGATTGTTTGCTGGATTTAAACCTAAGTGATGAATTGTGAACACAATCGATAAGCTGATAAGTATACATATTTAACAAATCAACAAACACAATGACAACAACAACAACGTAAATTCGTCATATAGTTTGTTTAACTCAATACATAAAGTAAGAGCGTCAGTAGAATTTTGATTGTCCCGTTCGTGTAGTTCTGCTTGGATATTATAAACAGAGCACAGATCATATACGAGTATATATATATATATATATCATGTATACATGTATATATATATATATATATATATGTATATATATTAAGATAAAGTTCTCTTGTATACATATAAATTTATATAAGTTTTTCTTTCTAATCTATAACGTCTACAACAATAATAATTGTTTAAATTGCTGTGAATTTGTTTTTAGTTTTTGTGTGTGTGATTTTTTTTTTAAAGTTAAGGTTCAAAGATTTTCACGTACATAAGTATTTAACGATTTGTTGCTGATTAATCAAAAGTGTTTTCTTTTTCTTTTTTTTTTTTTTTGTATATCAGTTAGACTCTGGCTCCTAATACACTCATAGATATATTCGAACTTATCCAATTGACTTGCTGTATGCTCAAGCTGAAGTAACTGACTATTTTGTTAGAGAGAGTTTACTATGATTTGTGAATATTGTGTTTATTTTTTGTTTATATTCGCCTTAGTAGTAGTTTTCTAAACATTTTCGTAATTGTTTTGTTATAGTGTTCTTGGTGGTGAATCTGTTTAAGTTGATGACATTAAAAATATAGTTTTTCCAGTTAAAGAGTATCTCATTTGTAGTATATTTGCAGTTATTGAGAGTAGGTACGCCTTAGGTACATGATTTCTTTCAAATTTGTAAGTAAATAGTAGCTGGATGTAATTGTTTTTTACTATGTGTTCTTCCAAATGTCGAGTTGTATCTTAAAGCAAGCTGCAAACCTAAAAAAGAAAAATCTGTGGCTCTGTTCCGAGCTCGTATCAATCCTTAGATTTGGTTCTTCATTTGGATTTTAGTAAAAAAAAACTTAAGAAAAACCAAATTAAACATTTATATTGATCCTTGTTTGCTTTTCCAATAAATTGTTAGTTTTGAGTTTTAGTTGATTTCTAACCGCAGACAAATTAGTTTCTATTATCTTATAATACAACGCTATTTTGGAAGTCGCATTTCAACGGTCTACCGATGTTTTTTATGTGGTAAGTTTTTGTATGCTTATGCCGTCTAAATAATTCGAAAAATATTGATATGGTTTTGTATCTGATGTTGATATGTATGCACAATTAGAGTAGGGTATCAAGTAGCCGACTTGTATATATACTATATTGTTTGATTGCGATTTGCATATTTGTATTTGTTACCAATGTACGAGGTGATGTGTTGTTGTTGTTGTAATTCTTCTTCTTTTCCGAGTGAATTTCTTGAACTGTGTTTGACACATTTTTAAAGTTATGTTCTCTAAGCACATACATATATAAATTTGTTTATAATGTTTGTATTTTTATGTAATTAAGAATTTGTTGCTCCGATGACATTTAAAATTTGCTGTCTAATAACATTTAGAGTTAGTTGAAATATATATATATATATATATTGTTTGACTGACGTTTACAATGTATTTGTATTTTGTATTTTTGTATTTTGGTATTGTGTAAATATTTGTATACATTTATAGCGCTAATATAAGTTGATTATATTTGGTGTTTCATTAATGGACCGAAATTGCATTTAAAAATATATAATATATATTCTTTGTATTAGTTTGTATAATATTCTTAGTTACGTCCGGAGAATAGCTGATACTGTAATAGAGTTGTTGCAAAATAATTAAGCCATCAATTTTGTATTCAGTTTTTTTTTTCACACGATCTGAAGATCAATATAATCTATAAAATTGCTAAAATTGATTAACTACATTTACGGGGGAGTTGAGGGGAATTGTCTATACTGCTGAGATATTATTGAATGCTAGATTAGCTCACACCGGATATTACGAAACATTACAAAACATATAGAGAGTATATGGATCACAACGAAGGAACCAAAACTTAAGTAAAGAGTAGAAAACTGGGGAAGTTTACACATGATTATTACAAGTATATATAATATTTAATATAATAAAATGACATCAACTAACGGATTTATATTTTATTTAGGATGTTTTTATACCTGGCACTTGGTTTGTTTAAGAATTGTTTTTTTTTTTTTTTTTTTTTTTTTGGGTTTGTTACTATATAGGTACAAAGTCATGCACACATTATACGACTACAAATCTCGAGGTTCCTTTTGAATTGGATGGGGATTATCGCCGTGGAAACGTTACGATCGATTTTACAATGCAAAAGCTACACATCGATAGTTATTTACGATTATTTTTGATAAAGGATTTGCTGTATGGGTGTATGTGTATGCGTATATGTGTATATGTGTGTGTGTGTGTGTGTGTGTTTGTGTGTGAGTTGGTGTGTGTGTGTGTGTCTACAAAACTACTACTAAGGTAAAACTGTTGGGGGAAAGGTGAGTTTGTGTTTGTGTTTGTATTTGGGTATTAATGACTTTTACCAGCCTTGACTTATAGCATATGTATATATATATATTATATACTTATCGCTTATCAATAAATATGCACATGTATATAGATAAATGTATTTATTTTGTCGCATCTTTTGTATATATCAAGTATATATCTACATACCCTTGAACTCTTAAGGCACATTTCGAAGTTTAAATATACATATAACTTACAATAACAATATAGATGTGTATATATCATAAGGAAAGAAAAGAAAAACAAAATAAAATAAATACAAAGATACAATATATATATATATATATATATGTATAATTCAAGTAGTTGAAGGACTTCACACACCAAAAACTAAGGAATAAAAAAGTAGGACAAGCGCAAAGGCAGCCAAAGTAAGTACGTAGAAAGAGCATTAAATATGCGATATATATGTATATAAGGATATATATATAGGATACATAAATAGCAATTACAGTGTACAATATATAAATTCGCAATGACTTAATTTGTAAATTTAGTTGAGTAGAAATACAAAATGCATAACAACATTTAGTTTCAAGTATTTAGAGTTTAGTTATAGATTTAGTTATTAGTTTAAGTAGTTGCAGCGCTTCAGCTTTTGTTGGGCCACGCCTTCAGTGTCAGTCATTCAAATACGAGTATATTAGATATTTCCGAGTATTGCGAGTACTTATTATCTTTTTTTATATTTACTGCTTTATATAGTTTGAGTTGTTTCGTTCTCTTCATATCTCTGCATGAGTTGTATTTCCAGTTATAGATATATATATATATATATATATAAATATATAAATATATATATATATAAATAGTATTATATATTCTTGTGCAATCAGATGGGCAGAAAGTAAAATGGCAAGTCAAGTAAATAGTAATTAAATACATAACAATTCCATTTATAGCATATACTATGTACAAATATGAATACAAATATAATACAGTAAAGAGCATAAGTGAGTGTATTCAAATGTTGTTGTTGTTGTTGTTCCTGTGTTTATGGACAATCATTTGAGCATGCATTTAATGAATGTGAATGAAGTCGGTTCAGCGCTTGGTCATCGTTTCGGAATTGAATAGTACCGATCCTAAATTGTACATAATTGCATAATTGATTAAAGTACAGAAGTAGTTCATAATTCACATTTATCACAGTGCTAAATCTTTAGCAATTTGAGCATTCAAAATTCCCACTCTATATAGTCAGAAAAATATTTTAAATCCATTTATATTTACTTTAGTATTATATCGTATGTAATCCTTTAACTTTAGTCTATCACTTTCACATTCAATTCCAAAGACCGACAACATCTTTAAACCGACGTTAACTGGCTGATTTCTTCTTTGTATTTCAATTTAACTTTCAAGTAATCAAATAAAGTCGTTGCAATCAACTGATTGCAACTGATTTGAAAAGCAAGCAAAACACATGCAATTATTAAGCTCAACATAAATGAAAATTTAGAAATATATACAAATGTTTTATTTTGAAACAAACAAATCCATGTTACAAACCCTCTTTCCGAAGAAAAAAAAATCAATGCACCGATTGTCACAACTGTCAGGTTGAGTCTTAAATATTAATTGAAAAAAAAAACAAGGATAAGAAAATCAAATCCATGTGCTTACTTAATTTTGACTTCATTTTTGCTGGCTTAAATAGAGAGCCTAACGACAATAATTAAGAATTTGAAATAAAACTAACATCACATTAATATTAAATTACATTAAACTACTTTGGATCTTCAATTTGAATATAATTATGCACACACAACATGTATGTGACTGTATTTGTGTGTGTGGGACTTGGAATCGGATGAGTGTGGAAGTTATTTCAGTTGAAATGAATAAATTAATTCAACAACTACAGTTTTTTTTAGGAGGCATTATTTTGCATTAATTTCTCGAATATTTAATTTTTTTTCTCAAATTCGATGTGAGAGAGTGTGTGTGTGTGTGTGTGTGAGCGTGTGTTTACCTTTAATTTGGTAAAACACATTTGGATTTTACGCAGCAACAACTCATAAGTAGGTACAATTATAAGATTTAATAATATTTAATAATAATAATGATAATAATAATGCTACCAAGTACATAATACTATAACAATCATAATAAGTTTGAGTACGCTAGTTATATGTATATAATATCAATATGTAATAAATAATTTTCGTTACGATTTATCAGATATGTTTTTTCAATGCGACATTAACATTTATTGTACATTTACGAATATGCGTAATTATACTATATATATTTAATAAAATTTACAAAAACAACAGTTGATTTGCACATTTCTTTGAATGTGTTTTTAGTTAGTTGTTGTTAATTGTAGTATGACTAAACTAAGTACATATATATATATTAAAATATATATATATATATATATATATATAGAATACATTGAGAGTATATAAGTATAAATATGGTTTGCATCATTTTACCCTCTGCCCCTATTTGCATACAACTTTTGTTCAATTGCTGATATATGTATATTCTGTTTTAGATTTTTCATATTTTCCATTTGTATTTTTATTACAACCAATTTGGATACGATTCTGATTTAGTTTCTATAATTTTGCGCATTCAGATTCAGATTCATGTTGCGTGGATACGATCTGTGGCGCAGACTAGTATTATTATTATTATTGCCGTAGTTGTAGCCGGTGTAATTGAGTTGACTGTAATTGTAAGTGGTGTAATCAGCTGGAGCTTGCGCCTCGCCGATTTCGTTCAGGTTATACTATTGACTAAATGTTATATTGAGTGACGGACACTTTCGGACGCTGCTGATGCTGTGATTGCTGTTGCGCGTACCATTCACCCGCAACAGCGGCACCGGGCTAACCGTCCCAGAAACGGATGTAAATTGTCTTACCATTCCAGATCCCAACTGTTGCAATATCCCCGAACCGGAGCCGAGTGGACCCGATGACAATACGGTTGATGTTCGACGCGATCGTATCGATTGCATACTGGACGATAAGAGAAATGGGACACTGCTCGATGTGTTGGGCATGGAGCCACCCTGTTTTTGGGAGTACAATAAAGGAGATTTCTTTGGAAGATTAGTTAAAAACATGTCACATATTTATTTTCATTTGTTTTTCTTTTCATTTTTTTTTTTTTTGTATTTATTAGCAGGCTGTGCGATTAATTTATTTTTATTTTTTAATTCTGTGCTTCAATTTTGTACGTGTGTGTATATATACAAAGTGTTGAGGTGTTATGTGTACCTATTGAGTATATTCTATAGCTGATACAAACAATCAATCAAACAAACAAACAAACAAACAAAATACAAAATAAAGCTCGAAACGAGCCCAATATCCACAGCGAAAACATTGTAGCACAATTACATATATTACATATATCCATATGAATACTTAGTGAACAGGTATACACATGTATATGAATCAAATCGAATACTCTCGCATGAAATCCAATTAGAGCTCGCAGCGAACACGAATTTCCACCAACCGCCCAAAAAATGAAAAATTCAAATTACATTAACATAAAAATTTAACATCAGCAATACACATGTATAAATTATGTATGTATGTGTATGTGTGTGTGTGTGTGTGTGTGTATGTGTGAATAGTTGAAAGCAGAAGGCAGAGCGAAATTCAAATAAAATTCAATTGAAAAAATCCGAAAGAATGAAACGTGTACTCACGATCATGCTCCGTGCAAGCTGCAAATCGTATTAATTTATTCGGTTTATGTTTTTTGACGATATATATATTTTTGATTTTTTTTCGGTACATGAAATGGAAAAACGCAAATACACACATGATATAAATACAGCATATATGCATAGTAGTTGTGTTTGTGTACGAGTGTGTGTGAGTGTGTGTGTGTGTAGCAGCTCTATATGATTTGTAGTATGATAAATCCACAGAGAAATGCGCGCTTATCAAAAGTTTTCTTTTTCGAGTAACAGGATTGGAAAAAAGCACATAGATTAGAAATATACTCTACGTTTAGATATATATATATAAGCGTGTATATATGTGTTTGTAGCTCGGTGTATTTTTTATTGGTGTTGGTGTAATGACAAGAGTACAAATCAAACATAAAATCAAATCAACAATCGATCGGGACATTTAATGACAAAGTTTGGCTTAATTTATATATGTTGGATTTTTTGTATTGTATTTGTTATTGGTGTTAAATTGTGTTGAATACTCCTGGTCACCATTTTTTTGTTGTGTTATTTTTAAGGGTTTTTTTCATCTGGACAAATACGAAAAGCTTAAAATATTTCCATTTTTTCATAACAATAATTATTTACACTCGATAAATTTATTTTACATGTTTTTGTATATATTAAATGGGAAACCAGCGCAGTTTTTTTAACAGGGAAAAATTGCTTTATTGACCTGTACTTACAGTTCCTTTGCATTCACATTTAAAATCACAAAATGCACAGCCTCTTGAAATAAAACAAATACAGCCAATGCAAAGTCGACACAACATGTACAAAAATAAAATTAAAAAAAAAATCGAATTCACACCAAGGCACTGTAGATGTCAACGGTTTCAATATACAGCACACACTGCACATTAGCATAAGCAGCCAAATTGGGCGGTCACGGCCACCGCCCACCGCCTACCGCCCGGAGCAGAAGCCGCTGCCTTTTGTTGAACACAGAGAATGCAGAGTAGTGTAGCAGAGACAACATTGAATGAAATACTGTTTAACTGTACACAAAAAAATGTAAATCAAGAGAGTTGCAAATTAGTTTAAAGTTGAATACAGCGAGACAGAAAACAACCAGAAACAATAAATACAGAATTGTTGTTGGTAAAAAAGATTTCCATTCCAAACAGTACGTCAAGGTAAGTACAGAGAGTACAAGTACAGAGAATATTTGTATGTTTTTATTTATGTAACGAGTAAATTTCTATTTGGTTAGGCAGCAATTCAAATTTCAACTTTAAATCCAAATTCAAATTCATATCCAAAATTGAGTTGTAAGTTTTGCGGTTGCACAAATTCAAACAGAGCATGAGACATACACACACACAGACAGACTGATAGACAGACAGTGAGAAGGAGAGAGTGAGATACAGAGAGAGAGAGAGATGAAGAGACAGAAGTCAGTGGTACAGGCAGAAAGATATTCAGCCAGAAACAAGTTGGAACGAACGACAGAGAGAGCACCACTTCCGGCCGCCATATTTTTGGGAGCAACACACAAAAAACCGTAGCATACTTTTCAGAGGCAACTAAATACTTTTGGTCGGCAGCAACTTGTGTGCTTGTTTCTCTCTGTGTGTGTGACTGGGCGTGTTATTATGTGTGTGTGTGTGTATGAGTGTGTGTGTGGCTGCCTGTGTATGTGTGAAGTTGTGCAAAGTTGACTGCTTGACGATGTCGACAACAACAACAACAAATGCAAAACATGAACAGTTAACAAATACCACAAGACAAGTTCAATCAATCGTTGCTCTCTCTGGATATATATCTGGGATGCTGCATATAGCATATATATATAATACTAAAGACCTAAAGCACAGCGTGTTGTGACAATTTTAATTGCTTTTTTGCTATTTTTTTTTTGTTTGTTGGTTTTTTGTTTTTTAGACTTACAACATAGGCTGAGGTGGAGGGCACCGATAGACTCGATCCAGAGCTACCACGAGCGCCGTACTATTTGTATATATTACGGTATATATATAAGATATATGTGTATGTATTCGAAAAAAAAGCAAAGGAATGAGACACAACGACGACGACGACGACGACGACGGCGACAACAATTTTTTTTTGTTTTTCGTGTTTTATTGTTGTTGTTTATTTTTGTGTTGATACGAGCGAATGTTAGGTAAGGGAGAGTGAAGATAAGATAAAAGAGCGTGTGTTAGAGCGTTTTGTCATATTTTCTTTGTTCTTTTTTTTTTTTTTTTGGTTTTTGTCATATCATTTATTGCGGGAAATGAGCTGATCATAAGTATTTATATAAATATAAATTACTTTTAAATAATAATTGTAAATAAATATTATATATATATAGAACTGCATGTTTCTTGTTCATGTTGTTCTCAAATATGTTTTTTGAGCGACTTGTTGTTATTATAATAAGTAGCAGTAGTTTAGCTTAGTAGTATTGTGGTGTCAACTGTACTTTTGTTGTTAACGGTTAACGCTAAATGCTACTCGCTAGGCGCTATATATAGTTTCAATATCATTTTCAAAAGTCAAAACACTATATAATGTATAAACAAAAATATAAAAAAATGTATAGCGCATTGAAATGAAAATTGTTTAATTTAATATCTGAAAGCTTTTTGTGTGACCATTGGCAGTCAGCAGTCGACAGTCAAAAAAAAAACAAAAAAAAAAACAATACAGAGAGGCAAAGGTCGCGAGTGCTGAAGCAGCACAAAAATCTTGGTAAACTGAATGTTTAATGAAGCAACCGCAACAAACAAAAATTGCGCTCGCAAAAATAAACACTAAACATAACAAAATAAAAATACCCAAATAAATACAAAACACGAAGCAAACAACTTACAGTTGGCGGTGACAAATTGATGGTAGAGCCGCGTCGCTCCTGGGGTCCAATGCTCGAGTGTCGACGGGTGGGCAAACCGCTACCCGGTGTCCCTCCTGGCGACGAGGCGCACGACGGTGCAATGCGTATCTTTGGTGTCATCAGCGTATTGTCCGAGAGCCGTCGATTGGGAAACACATTGCCGACGCGCAGGAAATTGCTATCCGGTGACGATGGCGAGCAACCAAACCACCAACCGCCAAGCATGCCAGAGCCTGCACAAATACAAATGAGCACAAGCATAAATATACACTTAGTAAAAAAAACAATATAGAGAATAAAAAAGAAAATGAAAAAAGAAATACTCAAATAAGGAACAAAACTATAGAAATCTAATTTCAAGCAGGTTTTTCCTTTGTAGACATTGTTAAGCATGAGTATCTTTGATCAACATCTTGATTTATAAAAGCTGAAGCTGGTTTTCATTGTATTTGCTTTAAAGCACACATTTCATTCACAAAGATCTTGATTACGGAATCTTTCATCAATTCTAATATCCTCTTAAAAAGAAACTAGACAAAGCTAGCAGGAATTAAAGTGTTTAAATTAAAAACTTACTCTGACCTCGACTTTAATTCTGTTCTTTTCATTTTTTTCACAGTGTATATGCTTCACGCATAGCCTCAATAATAATTACCTGAAAAAAGGCATGCTAATTAAGTCTAATATTGAGCAGCGGGCTTGTATCGCCAGTGTGTGTGTGTGTGTGTGTGTATGGTGTGTGCTGATGTGTGCGACTTTTTGTGGTACTGTCATGTTTGTATTTGCTTCGCTGTCACTGCCAAGGACATTCGCACAATTTGCGGTTGCAACTGCGGCTTCTGCATATGACTCCAGTTTAAGCATGACACTGCCGCACCCAAACCCAACCCAGCCCAACTCCCCTATTCCGCTTTGGCAAAACCTATGCAACCTGTGCGGATGATGCATGTGGCAATTTGCGTCAGAAGTTATTAACTTGACTGTTTGCACACAGTGAGCTGTAAACTGCGGCAATTCCATGCACACCCATACTGATTCAACTCAACTCTGTGGTTTTCCATCAATCCACTTTGAATGCAACTATCGAATAATTATATTGACAAATAATACTCGAGGAAGTTATTGTGCTTTAATTAGACAACGCTAAAAATATGCAATTGAAATACGTTGTAAGTTTATTTATTAAGTTCAACTGCTACTATTTGTCCTTATAGCTGGTTTGAATATGTCTAAAGAACTTTTACATAATTCAGCTGTTCATAATTAAAATTTTGTAATTATTATTTTCCAATATGAAATTTATTCCAACACACTTTAATCTCCATTTGCCTTTAAATGTGTGGCAATGTCATTAACTTAATAGACTCCAAGCTCAATGACTACTTTGGGCATATCAAATCTTTTTGGTGTGCCACAAGGTGTATACGTAATGTTGCAAAATATATGTAGTGAAGCGGAAATTTGAATTTGATAGCAGTTCAAGCTAGAAGCTACAGTTTATAAAGATGAAATACACAGAGAAACCGCAGACAGCTACCAAAGGTAAGGCCATATGCATACAAACGAAATGCGTCAACATTTTCTGTTTGTTTACTGTTAACCACAAAAACCGTAGCGGTGACCTATGAATCCACTCTACACACTGCTGGGGAAGTGTGGCAACAACATTGCAATTGCCAATTTATGCAGAGCCAGCCGGGAAGCGTGACAGTTGGGAAGAGCATGGCTCAAATGACCTTTGACTTGCATCCAAGTCGTGCATTTCCGTCAAAATTAAAAGCTCCCCCACACACACACACACATGCACACATACATGCACGCACAGAACGCCATGACATTGTGTGTTTTATAAACGATTAAGGACATCATAATAAATCATCGTTAAGGTCGGCAGTTCGTTAAAGTGTGCCACAGGTGCACCTGTTGGCTGCGCCCCGTTCTGCCACATCCTGCGACAGTTTGCCACCGTTTGCTGTCATCTGCTTTGTCACATCATTTTTTTGTTTTTGTGCTTGAGGCTGCCTTTGATTATTATAATTGACCATTTTCCATTCTCCATTTTCGTTTTCGTTTTAATTTTAATTTTAATTTGCATAATACAATTAAATTCCGCTTCGCTCATGGCTCATTTTAGATTTTGACAAATTAGTCCGACTCCAGCGATTAGGGAACCGAGCTGGCCAAACGCGCTAAACTGTCACGTTCGTCGGATATTGTACTCACGATGAAAATGCGAAAATTGAAAATGTTCAATTACGCAGCACTCGAGGCTAAGCTCATTATTCACTATGCAACCCCCTCATTAGCTCAGTTAGCAGCTGCACATTTGCGGAGCGGAGACGGAGAATGAGAATGAGAAGGAATAGGAGGAGTATTACTTACCACCAGAGTTCTTGCGTGCCATATCCTCGGCACTGGATGTCTTCCGCTGATCGATACGCAAATTGGGTATATTGAATGGCGGCGCATTCATGTTGTCCGTCGAGAACTGATGTCGCAATGTGCGATGCCTTTCCGGCGATGCCATCGACAGATTATCCAGTTTCAATTTGTTGCGCTGCTGACGATCGATGGCCTCCAGCATCTGTTGCAGCACCTGTACCAATGTGTCAATCATAATTTCCAATTACCAAAACAATTTTCGCTGACAACTTAGAAGCGCAGGCATACCTCCAGCAGATAGCAATAGTGGTCGAAATTGAGAGACGGATTCACGGTGTGCGGTATCAGCAGCGGCAGCACATTGGTGGCCATCGTTTCTACAGTTAAGCCGTAGGATTTGTCCGCAAACAGCTTGTGGTAGATGCCTGCAAAATTGTATATGTCTCGGTATAATTATTTGTTAGCAAACTCCCACCATTTTCATTCAATTCAAACTCACATACATCCACATAAACTCTACACTGGAAAAAAATAATGTACAAAAATGCCTGATAAGAATCGTGTCGTCTATTCTAGATCGGGATTTGTAATCAAAAAGGGATATTGGGGACGAGTGATAACTTTCGGAGCCTATAACTTTGTCAAAACTTAACTTATTTTCAAAAACATAGGCTTTTTAATTAGTTGGCCTTTAGATTAATACTAAATTCGAAGTTGAAAACGAGAACACCCTCAAAAAGGGCCCCTATGAATGGGTCAAAACTGATTTTCAAAAAAATTCAATTCAATTCTGTATTTCTTATATGCTCGTAGTTTTCCCTAAGTGTACCTCAGTTGCCTAAGGTGCAATTTTATGGAATTTAATTAGATTTTATGGGAACAGAAACAATACTGGCTAAGGTGGTTATTGCTGTGTGTAAAATTCTATTAACGTTTTGCAGTCAATATAAGACTGGATTTGCCAAGCATTTTTTTTACTTACGCACAGTCCGCATGATAATATCTGGATCGGGAATGCGGACATTTGCCAGCAGGGGCAACACTTCCTCCATTACCTGTGTGGGGGATTATCGTTGCAATCGCACAAGTTATTAGATGTGTGGTTGTGTCGGCAATTGAACTTACCTGTGCTCGCTCCATGCGGTCCATAACGCGCTCGATGCACACAAGCACATTCTGTACAATCTTTGGATCAGCTATGTTCTTCTCAAATACCAATTTAACCTTGGGCAAAACCATGCGACGAATCGATATCTCATCGATGCTATCAAAAACGTTGCCCACAGCAACAACAGCAGCGCTCTATGAGGAATGATAATGATTAATCGTCTGGTTTTATTTGCAAAAATCACACCCACTAGTTGGTCAAATCAGTGAAGTCTAAATTCACAGGCGTACATTGAATAATTATTCATATTTTCAAGGCTTTGAATAACAATTAGCAATGAGCAAATCTGTATAATTTCCTATTTAGCAAGCCCACGCATTCAACCAAATTGAAATACTGTCAGTATGCCACAATAGATTACGTGTCTATTTATATTTAGAATTGACTCGCAACTACTTGAGTTTCAAGTGTCGAAAACTGTTTCCTGGCGGTGAGACCAAAAAGGTAAAATTCCAAAATGAAGGAGATTTTCGTATGCAATAAATTTCAAGTGGCAACCGAGCTACTTAAGAGGCAACTTTGTGCCACAGTTAATTAAGAAATTTCTGTTGTAATTACGCAATCAACACTAAGGCGAAACGCCAACTCAGTTGTCAAACCATTCCCTTACTTCTCTGTCTCTCCTTCGCTTCCGCCTACCCAACTAATTTGCATATCTATGCCAGTTCAGGCAAATTGAAGGCATCAGCATCTTCTCGAGCGTCGTCTACTTACCTGTACTTGAATTGTGGAGCCGTCAAATGAAAAGAATAGCATTGGCATTATATCTGTGGTGACGTCCTCCGGTTTCGTTTTCTCAATAATCAAATGCAAGTTCTCAAGTATCGTAACGCTCGCCTGAATAGATTTCGGTGTATTGTAGACAATTCTATGTGTTTTTTTTTTCAAGTAGACAAAGAAAATACATACAAATACACATACATATATATATATATATATTTTTGATCTGATTAGAGAAAAAGTTTGCCGTCACTTTTATTTAATGTTTGCATTAAAAATGAGCCCAAAGTAAATAAATGCGTTTGTTATTCTTGCACCAGCTGGTCGATGGGTGTGCGTGTGTGTGTGTGTGTTAGTGTGTGTAAGTGTGTAAAAGATTGTTATTAGCTACTTTTATGACAGTGTCAGTAAGCGTCTTACAAGATTCGCTAAACTTTTTTGACCCAAACAAAATGTTTACAAATGCGAGGGTTGCTTCTAAATTGTGTATGACATATGAATGCAAGTTATATTTTAGCTTATTTATAATACAATATAGAATATAGAAGTTCTAAAACATTTGATTGTATATACATATATAAGACTTGAGAAAAATGTACTCCGGCAACACACAAGAAAAATATTATTTGAAAACACAAAAAAGTTGCAGATTTTGAACAGCTGTCGAAAGGTTTTAAATAATTTATTTGTGCAATTTGTCACCTTTTTGCTATTTGCTGAATGACACTCGCTGCACGTCCTTGCGGCTTACTAATTTATGTATGCCTGCCACGAGGCCACAAAAGGTGCACATTGTCCTGACATAGTTGGCCCCGTTCCCTTACCGATCCGCCCCAACAACGTGGATAACACCAAACAAACTTTGCAACTTTAACTTTCGACTTGTGGTCTATAAATTACAATATGAGCCGTTCCCTCGCTTGGTATGCTTTTCGTGTGTGCGTCTGTGTGCAATAAAACGCCATGAAGATTAAATAAAAAGTGTCACAAGAGTGTTTCAATTGTTCGAAAGAGGGACCAGAACACTACACACAGCAAAAGTTGAGGACTGGCACCATTGTTTGGCTGGCAAGACTCTATCGGCGTGACCGGCAACCACAGCAACCACTGAGCCAAACCACCAGGCCACAGCAGCCAAACCACAGCAGCCACAACAATAACAAAAGGTCAGTGCTACTTTACAGCTAAACGTTTCTCTTAAGTAGTGTATACAAGTCTACACTTTGTGTGTGTATGTGAGTGTGGCATAATGAGCGCGATGGCAACACTTACTTCATTGTGGCGGACATTAGGGCATCGTACTCGGAGTGCGTCGCCTCCTGCACGAAGAGCATGACGGGCTGCAGAACAGCAGCGAGCACCTCACCATTGTTAATCTCTGACTTGAGCATCGGCCACAAGTTCTGCCACCAGAGTTTCTGCAAAAACAACAAATGCAATAAATAAATAACAGCAACAAATAACTATGGCACAATAGTTAGTAAGCAATGCCTTTATCGCTTCTAAGTAGTTTATGGTGTAGAAAACGAAGCTTCCGTGGAAACAAAAACTTTGGTTGGTGGCCACATTTTGCCAACTGTCATAAACTGGTCTCGTAAGTTGTAAATTGTTCTTCAGCTCCTCAAGTTGACGCCATAAATGATGAATGAACGCGCTGGCATCCAGTCAGATGACTGAGCCGAACAGTGCCGAAAATGGCCGCCGTTACATCCGTTTCCGGTGGCAAGGAACTTATAGCTACTTACGCGCGGTATCAGCGGCATCGCTTCTATCAATGTGGTCTTGTAAAATTGTGACTTCTGCTGCGTGTCCTTCATGTTGACCACGTCCAAGAATTTCAACGCATTAATAGCCGGATCACTGTCAGATATAAAATAAAACAAAAGTCCACATAAATTAAGTGCAAAATGTCCATATGACATTTTATTTAAATTCGCCCATTTAACGCGTCACTTTCAATAGCCTTAGCTGAGGAATAAAACTTGACTTTTCATTTTCTTTTTATATATAAATGCAATTATCTATGTCCAAAACGGAATACTTGTTGCTTTAGGTTTTCTACAGCTACAAATACAGTTTATTTTATCACTTTTAACCACAGTAAAAGCGCTTGAAATCATTTTTTTCCATAAAATGTAAATAATTGCTAAAACAAAGTTTTGTTTTTTAAACAAATAGAATTATGTGTGGCTAAAGCAAAGTATTTGTTGTTTTAAATGTTTCACACAAATACAAATTTAAAGCTCTGAAAACCATGATTGCATTAAAGTGCAAATAATCCTTAAAACAATTGTTAAATATAAATAAAAAGCATGCAAATTCATAGCATTGGATGAGTGTAATAAAGCTCGGATTATGCACACAATTTTCAGCTCTCTAAACTTTTATTTTATTTTTTATTCATTTTGCTGCTATTTAAATGTAATTGTCTGAAATGTGCTTACTTTTACACGGATATGTATTTATTTCGGACAGGAAGCTGTCAATAACCACACGTTAGTCTAACAGAACTCGGACAAATATTGCGAGTTGTTGAGTACCGCAATGCGATATTGGAGCGTAGCCGTTGCGGGTAATTAAAAGATTGCCATAAAAGTCAAAAACCGTTAAATGATGTGCATTGGCAGAGATAGCATTGGCGCTTGGTTAAGCAATAAGTGTAGCCTTAAATCACATTGCGTATGCGCCCCGTTGCACACGAACGGAATGTGATGCTGCCCAGTTGATTAGCGCTGAGCAACATAATCAGCATAAAGACCAATTTGGCTTCAACTAGAGAATGAGATCTGTTTAAATTGCGAGCCACTTGCAAACGCAGCGAAAAACGCTGAGAACTTTGATAACATTTAAATGAACTTCAAAGTGCCGCCAACAAGCGACTAACTGACTCCCTGACTTCCTAACCCGTCTCCGGCTTGTGGGCGGCAACGCAGGGGCGTGTGGCCCACTTATTTTTGCTAAGCAACCGATTTCGCCAGCCCAACCAAGCCAAGCCAAGCCAGCCCTTCATCCTTGACTTTCAAGTTTTCTCTAAACAGACACTCTGTCGTCGCACAGTGGTGCACTAAAATTTACAATTATATTTTTTATTTAAATATCAAATCTTCAATAATTATATGGATCTGGAAAATGTGGTTACATATAATTACATTTTTTATTAGAATTTTGCGAGCTAAAATCGCGCTTCCAACTTTGAATATAGTATTTATGTAGAGGTCAAGCAATGATTAAAAAACCCGGCTATTTTAAAATCGATTCACTTTTGACAAAGTTATGACAGTGCAAAATTCGCATGGAAAATCGAAGAAGTTTTTAGGCATATATGATCTGTTTTTATATATATGTATATATTTTTGCACAGTGTGCATTATTGTTTGTCTGGCATTCGCTGAGTGTTTTATATTTTTGTATGCTCTGCCGCCGTTGAGTTACTTCTCCCGTCAATTTGTAGGCACTCGGCTGTCTGCCAGCTTTGCCGTGCCTTGCCAAGCAGCTGCTGTCGTCATAAATCCGTTGTACCACGCAAGGAAGCGCAACGAATGGGGAAGGGAGTGTGGCAAGCAGAGGCAAAGGAGAGGAACGCTTCGTTCGCTTTTCTGCTGCTCACAATCAGCTCAAGAGCTTCGCATTGTGTCTTTCAAGGCTGATTACCGTTTTCATTTACCAAACAGACGTAATTAAGGTATGCGTGGTGTGTGTGTGTGTGTGGATGTGTGGGTGTGTGTTTGTATGTGGAGTCTATTTGTGTGTCTGTTTTTGTTGCCCTTGGTGGAGTAAAAGTAAATGCTTCAATTGAATTTTAGCTACATGTACAAATTGGCTTAGAGATTGCGCGTCTGTGTGTTAGTGCGAGTGTGTGTGTTTGCGTGGGTCTGTGCTTGAGTGTATGCGTGTGTTTTTAACAGGTGTCAATTTCATTTGAAACTCAAACAAAAACTTTTGCTAAAACTGCGCAAATTGCTGTCACTTTTGCTTTTTGCTTGCCTTGCGTTTAGTTAAAAGTTAATTAATTTGCAACAGAAGTTGTCAGTGGACGGGGGACTCGAATTTTTAAAGAAATATTTTGAAGAGCATTTATATCAAAGTGACCAGATAAAAATGTATTACGTTTACAGTTCATTGCTGAAAAATTGTAAAACTGACCTGTATTTGATGGAATTTTATAGTTTTAAACTTGGAAGCGGAATTTTCTAAATACACTTTAACTTTTAATAAAAAAGTTTTTGAAAAATGTGATGAATGTGAGGAAAAAATAAATAAAATAATAAAATGTTATGAAATTTATTACATAAATTGTGAAATTGTTTTATATTTGGGTAGATAATGGAAATTGTTTAGTCCACTGTTACTCACATAAAATACTTGATGAGCTGCAGCAATTGGGCAGTGGGTCGAGCTGTCGCATCCCGACTGGCCATGCGAGATGTGGCCTCCTGCAGAGCGATGGGCAGTCGCGGCATCAACTTATGCACATGGTCATCCAGCTGGAAAAGCAGAAGAAATGATATAATGCGCAAGTACTAGTCAAGTTGGATGACCAACAGGCTTGGCCACAGCACTGGATAATGCCAAACACTTGAACACTGGCTGTAACGGAGGCCAAAAGTTTTTAATGACATGGCCATGGAAGGCACCTGCAGCCAGAATTCTGGTTTCAGTTCCAGCACCTTACTGAATAATTAGAGTTTCAAGTGGACTTATGATTACATTTGCATTTGACAAAGCGGCGAATCTAATTACGGCAGGCAAACAAGCGTCACAGAAACTTTTCAACTTGTTTTTTTTTTGTTGCCATCAATTGCCACTTGCCTTTTTGTGGATCGGGTGGCACCAGCGAGGAGCAGCCAGCAAATTAATTTAGCTCAGGCAGCAGTAGAAGAAGCAAATGATGTCTTACCGTTTCGAGTTGCTTGGCGTAGTTGCTTGTCGAGTTGCCAGCCTGGATAAGTGGTCGTCCATTGTTATACACAGCACAGATGACCATGCCCAGGGAGAACATATCGCTGAGGAGGCTGCACTTGGAGCTCGTCTGCGTTTCTGGCGCTAGTTTTGAATGAATTGTAATTGAGTTGGGTATGTTGTTGAAGTGTTATTGTGCTGTTGTGTGTACTTACCCATAAAATCCAGATTGGGTTGGGCCATTTTTGAGACCCGATTGCTCCATGGCGGACACGGAATTGAGCTATTCAAATCAGTCTCATTCATTCTTTCTGCAATTGAAACACAAAAATATGAATATAATGCTCCATGGTGTGTTGAGTTTATCTTTCCCACTTGGCATTCATATTCAATTTGATGTGGTGCTAGAAACTCACCCACATATTCCATGCCCGCCAGCTTCCAAATGCCCCGCTTGGTTATTAGTATAGAAGATGGACACACATTTCGATGAATTACGTGACCGGAATAGTGCAAATAGGACAAAGCCTCTGTCAGCTAAAAAGAAAAAAGAACGATGCAACGAGAGGGGTCGTTACAATAAGCAAACAGACAACACTCAGGAAAAAATTAGATCTAAATATTAAATCACCTTACTAAGAATTTTAATTGTTATAAGCTTGGGTTTCTTTTTTAAATGGCAAGTTAAAGTCTAAATTACTTTTAAAAATGCATAAATACATTGATAATTTAATTTTTGCTTAGTCTTTGAAGGAAAGTTTCCAATTATATATTCCAATTATATATGTATATGTTTCTTAAAAATATATAAAGTATTTCTGAAAGATGAAATTAATAAATATGGGATTTTTTATAAAGAGCAGTTGGTCCTCTTTTAAATACATTTCTTCTTTAAAGACACAGTTTTCTCGGAGTGCATATAACAGTAAACTTGGGGAATGGAGTTGTTTGCCTTACCTGCAAGAATCCATATTTCAGTTCCATATCCAAAAAGTTGTATTCCTTGGCATGCGCTGGCCTCTGCGGCTGTGCTCCGCCCGATGTTGCCGTTGTCGGCTGCGTCTGTGGCGCCCCACCGCTTGCTGGTGGCACCACGCTGGCATTCTCATACGTTTTCGACTCCTGCAAGACAGCGTGGCGCTTAAGAATTGCCAGACACGTAGACTGTCCCAGCCCAAACCCCACTCACCAAAAATAAAAAAAAAGCTCTGTTTGCATTTTATGGCAATTGCTTTTTCAAATTTTCTCGCATTTTTCTTTTCCCTTTTTCACAGCCTCCCAGCGGGTTAAATAACTATGTCATGAAGTCATAAACTTTGCAGACAATGACTTAAATTAAGGTGCTTGGCCATCTGGGAGCTTTTGGTCTTTAATCAACTGAAACATAACTGGACTTTCGCTTAACTTAACGCCTTTTACGTAGGATTTCCTTTGTGGGATTTTAAGTATATCCCAAAGAGAATTCTGTTAATTTTTGTTTTTACCTAAACCCTCTCGTTCCCTGGCCCATAAGCTCAATATAATCGAATAATACTTCCCTAAGTATTTCATGGAATATTCACTTTCAATAAACAACTTTTTTTAAATAGTTATAAATTGCAGAGTATAAAATCTTCACTATGTCCAACTTTAACATTTTTTCGTTTACCTTTCATTTTTCTTGAACATATTGTTTGGCTTTTGTAAAACAATTTGAGCCTTACCTATACAATTTTCAATGTTATTTAACTCGACTCGATTTACTTCCATTCAGCTATTGCTGTTGTTGATGTTGTTTTCTTTGTTGTTATTATTGCCGTGCACCTCAATAAACTATAATATTGTCTAGCAAGAAACAAAGAACAAATTTTCACTTTCGCATTGTTTTTATGTGTTTGGATGTCTGTGTATCAATTTCTGAGTTGTGCAAGCAAATCGAATCATTTTATTGACTCAGTCTCCACAGCGTAAACTTTTGCCAGCACGCACTGTAATTCGATTTGGATGTATGGGTATAGGTGTGTGTGGGTTTTTGGTTGAGTGTGGTCTGCATTTGCCAACATTCTGTGCTACCTGGCACTTGAACTAGAAGTCAAACTATGCAGTTGACTGGCTGCCTCTGCTATACAAAGTTTTGGCCCGACGCAATAAGCACAACAGTCAAAACGACAAAAACAACAATTGATTGAAACTGGTGCCACTAAAAGCCATCAAGCCTAAAATCTAGCAAAATTCCCATGGGGTGGAAAATTGCATCCAGTTTTGCCCACAGACAACGCACGTTGAATTAAACTGAACGGAACGAAACCGAACCGCATAGAACTGGGAAATTGAACCGTTAACAGAGATAAACACAAAAGCCAACTCACATGAAAGGCCAGCACATTTGAAAGGCTGGCAAAAATAGGCTCTGCGGCAAAGGCCAAAGTATCCGCACTCTCCTCAACAGTGTGATAGATTTGTAGAATCTGGGGGAAGAAAATAATCAATGGAAAAATAGTAATTAGAGTACATAAGGGAAAGTGATTTGTATAGATTATACTCAAGTTAAGTATCAACTGTAAATAGTTAATTTATTCTCAAAACTGCAGATAGGAAGTTGTTTATATTTGATATAAGTTAAGTAACTACTTTTAAGTGTATATTTTCTACGCTGCAGATTATCTTATTAGGAATTTCAAATTTCTGGCAAGATATTCTCATATTATATTTACTGCAAATCTCAATATTTTCTACAGTTAATTTGAAATATTTTCTGTGAGTTGCCCTGCTCTAAAAATTGCATGCCAAGCAAATATTTGAAATCAGTTATTTATGATATTTATTTGCACACTCACTCTGGGATGGCGAAAACGTTCCAGTGTCTTTACCGAGCTCTTCAGCAGCTCCGTAATGGTCTCCTTGCGGCGCGGCTTGTGCAGTTTCTCAGCCACTTTTTTCTCAAAAATAAACACCGAACATTCCTAGTTGAGAGAGAGAGAGAGAGAGAGAGTAGGGGGTGGGAAGGAAAAGGTTTTTGAAAGGGTTTCAATGGTTTGCGTAGCGTACACACCTTGTTGTCACTCTTGCGATAGCCATCGTGTATGCGCCAGACGAGCTCTGGTCCGGCACAAGCGACCGGTTTGCCAATCTCAAAGTATTGCGTAATGGGATTGCCCTCGGCGACATTCTGTGTGGATGTGGATGAGGCCGCCACATTGGCGCTTTTGAACTTGGCGAACATTGTGCCTGCGGGCATACCATCGATTAGCTTGGAGAATACATTCGAGAAGCTGCCCTGCCGTTTGCAATGTGGCACACTGGCACTGCCTCCAATAGTTGGTGCTGAGCCACCACCACCACCACCACCGATTTGAGCACCGGCCTCGCCAACACCACCAATCGCCGTTGATGCTCCACTGATAGATAAACGTTCGCGCAGGCTTACGCCTAAGCTGTTTGCACTTGTCACCGATGCCTGTGGTAAGCTGCGGCTTGTTAAACCAACACCACTAGCACCACCAACACCACCCAGACCGTTTGCAGTTGACGCGTTGTCGCCGTAGCCGTTCACATCGCCACCGATGCCGCCAGAGACGTTGGATAACTTGCGAGTTCCTTGACTTAGCTCGAATATTGTGCTTGCGCTGCGATTACGCACATTGGCCAGACCCACACCCACGCCGACACCGACACCGACACCCACACCACCGCCCACGCCGAGACCCACACCAGCACCCAGTCCGGTACCCGCTGCAGCCAATCCGCCGTACACAGTGCCGCCTTGGCTGCCAGCTTTCGCTGGAGAACCCGCTGCCACCGCTGCTGTCGCTGTCGCTGCCACTGCCACTGCTGCACCACCACCGCCACCACCACCACTGCCACTAGCGCTGGATGTTATTCCAACAGCGCTGCCACTGCGACTGCGTTTCGCCTCCTCGACACTATCCAAACGTGAAAAAATTCGGGCCGCCGTTGTTGCCGTTGTTGCTGCTGCTGCTGCCCGCTTACCCAACTATGGAGCACACACACACGCACAGTTCCGTTTCCTGGTCCGCTTCCGGTTTCCGGTTGCCAATGTCACCACTAGGTTGCCAGTTAACGTATCACACTCTTTGTTTACAGCTCACTCAGCCAAGCTCTGTTGTATAAATTTCAAGCAAGGCTTCAGCCGCAAATGTTGCACTGCAAATAAAAAGTTATTTATAAAAGATATTTTCCATTTAATTGCAGTCACTTCAATTGCACCACTGCGAATCGCACGCATCGTTGAGCAACCATCAATATGCGCTGCACGCACTCGACAACCATTTGAGATACCCTGTTGTGTACAGTACAGGGTGCGTGGTTACTTCGACTAACCAATAACAATTGCAACCAGTCAAGATCTCTCATTTAACTTAGTCAAACTATTTAATTATCTACTTTAGATAGCAAATAAATATTTTAAAACCTTGAACTTTAGTAGCATAAAGAGTTAAGATTTGCATTTGTATAAATTGAGCTGCCCAAAATTAAGTAAATTTTCTATTTGAAATATATATTTCTTTTTAAAGAGTTGAAATTTTGAGCTTGGAATAATTATAGATTTTATTGTCTATAGAGCTTATTTAAAGAAATTCTAGTTTATTAATGTTAAATGACAATTTCATTTAGTTTACAGGATATATTATACTTCTGGCAGCAACGTCATAAGGCAGGCAAAAAATCAATGAGAATTTCGTATTTTCTGGGTCTCCGATTAATTTCTCTGGCTCCATTATTCATTTTGTTTTCCCAGGGTATATGCGACAAACAGTAGCACCCACGTTTAACGCAACCACTTATTTTGCGTTCGCAATTAATGCGCTTATTGCCGGTCTGAGTTTTATCTTAAATTTATTTTCGTTTTCCGTCTCATTCTGTTGCCGGCTTCACACAAAACTGCACAATTAAAAAGTTAAATGAGCTCAGGGCGCCATTCAATTTGTCTGTGTGTGTATTTTTGTATGAGTTTGTATATGTTACTCTGTGTGTGTGTGTGTTGTTTTTGCTGCTGTTGGCATTTGCCAACGGTTCATAATTTTGAATGAAAATGTGCTTAAGCGTATTATCTCTTTATTAATTGCTTTAAAAGTGAAAGTATTTGCATTTCCATTTTCTGCAATTGGTCAAACTAAAATTGAATGCAATTCAAAATGCCAAAAGTCGTCAGCTGTGTATCGAAATTTACTTTTTGTGCACACTGTGTGCAGGCAGCTTAAGTGGATGGTGATACTGCTGCCATTTGACTGTTACGATTTTTGTTATTGGTCGTATTTGAGCTGCTGTTTGAAGGCGCAGGAGCAGTCTTTGAATCAGACTGATGGACACAAATTGACTTGAGACAACTAGCGCAAGAGGATGGGTAAGTCGTAAGTCGTGAGAGAAACAAGACCGAAATAAATTTCAGGTCAAATGTTAAACTATTTAGTGCAAATATTTGGAAGCTTCCTTCGCCTTGGCGTTTCGTCTCATTTCATGACGAAGTAAATAAAATATGAGACAGCAGTTTCTTGCTGGCATTATATGTGTTCCACGGAGCGCCTAAAAGCATGACAGACAGACAGACTTACTGGGAGGGCAGTCGGAGGGGCAAAAAACATCTTACTAGGTCAGCAGTTGATGCTTAAAGCCGGAATCCAATGAGCATAAGTAAAATGCGGCTTAAATATTTATGGGCCATAAGCGAGTGTTGCTGTACTTCAAACGTTGAATCAATAAAGCAGCACCGAGTATATATCCACATAGATTACATCTGCATAATGTTAAGTTCTGTTTTGGTAAGCCGGCAAAAACCAATTGGACTCTTACATAAAAGGTAAGAGTAAAATCCATTTAGGCCCTTGGAAATTTACATTTTATTATTAATTTGATGATTACGCATTCGCTGAAAGGTTGCAAACTAACAGTTCAGTCTGGGAAGCCACACATGGTTAAATTAGCTCAGCTTATCTCCCTTGCCACGGATATATGTATACATTGTATGGTTTCTCAAAGTTTCGTTTAGTTTCACATAGTTAAAGTTTCCACTGCTAAGTATAATGGTGGATTTTTGTATTTAATTAGCTAAACACGAAAATTCGCTTAATATAAACAATGACCTTTTTAGTTGGTTTGTCCAATTGAATTTTTACATTAAATTTCAGTTTTGCTACGCTGTCAAAATGGATAAAAGCTCCTGTCCAGCAAAGCAAAATTTATTTACTTAAATTAAAGGTCAAAGTGCTAAGAGAGAAAAATACCATCGTTTTATCACAGCATTAGGTTATATTTATAAAACGAAAAACAAACTTTTACTAATTCCAAAGTTTTATTAAATGTATATAAATTTAAAGGCCAGACAGTCGCATCCAATTAAAATTCATAACCTGAAAACAGGCTGATAAATAGAAAGAAATGCGAGTCCCTTTCTCGTTTTTGGGGCACAGTGTGCAAAATATGAAAAATTATCGCCCTTATTTCATGTTCAGCCATCGGAGAAGGTCTTTAATCAGTGCAAAAATATTTACACAGGCCAACAGCTGCACAACTTCATAATCAGCATCATCATCATCATTATCATTATGATGATACAAAAAAAAAGCTAATAAATATCAATGCCAAAATTAGCGTAAATTCAACTTTAAATCTGAATTTGAATTTGATAAATGCGACCACGTAACAAATCGAAGCAGGCGAAAAGCGAACAGCTCTCAGCACGTAATCAGTAAGAGTAAGGGTAGATCGTTGGAGGGGTTTGGGAAGAACAGGGAAAACAGGGCCACGGGTCACTTTTATTGATTTGCAGGCTCACACACACACACACACAAACACACACTTACAGCCAAAATTAAATGATGAAAGCGAAACGTTAACAAAACTGAAACGAACGAACGTGAAAGGCACAAAGCGCGAAAATTATTTTCGTTGTTATTGTATTGTTGTTGTTGTTGTTGTTGTAGCTGCTGCTGGTATTATATTTGACAATTTGGCATATAGAAATACATGTGTATATACAAAGACACAAACACACACACACACACACACACACACAAATAAGCTCATATATGTGCTTAACATTGTGTGTATCTAAAGCTTTGTGAGTTTAATATTTTTAGCCCAAAGCCAAACGAACATAGGCACAAGCAGTGGCAACAACAGCAACAAGTAAATATTGCTTAGCGTTAACTGAAGACAAATACCCACAATACAGGCACATACACACACACCACACATACACACCACACACACACACACACACACACACACACCACACAAGGCCAACGCAGACACAAGCCAAAATAAACGTCAAGTAAGACAGAGACACGCACATATACACACACACACACACATACATTCATATACACACAAACACACCGATGTCTCAATTAAAAAAAAAAGTGATGGCCCTTTTAGCCGCATACAGAACCAGCAACAAGAACAACAGCTGTGGCAGTAGCAGGAGTCCGTCTGGCACATGTTTTGTTTGCTTTTGCTTCATTTGGCATTGTTCGCCTGGCAAAAAAGGACAAAAACAGCGATTGATAAACGGCCAATGTTGTCAGTAGAGCTCTCTACCTTGTATATTGAGCACACACACACACACACACACACACACACACACACACACACACACACACACACACACACACACACACACACACACACACACATATGAGAGGCAATCGTGCTGGTTATAAACGTAAATTGTCTTTGAGTGGCTTAGCGACAAGTCTGAGAATATAAGTGAGCTGTATTGCTGAAAATTTGGAAAAAGTAATAAAAAAAATCAAAGCACATTAATTAAAAACTCGTGATATAATCTAATGCTAAAATATGCAATATAAAATACAGCACAAGACTGCTTTAATATATTTTTTCAAACTACACAGCCGGCAGACGCTGTGCATCTTTGCCTGAAGCGTATCGGAGTATATAAAGAATAAAAACAAAGAAATAAATTCAGTATCTGAACTATGTAGCTAATATGTTAGATATAACAGTATACATACGTATACTTTTAATACGAATGTGAACGAAAAGCTGCTGTATTTATACATGCAAATGAGATTATTTAATAAATATGTGAATAAAAATGCAAGAAAAATGACAAATATGTTTTGCAATTTGAATTCTTTTTTATAAGTACAATTTAAACAGTTTTGAACATACATACATATCTGTAGAAGTGTATTCTTGAACTTTTTATAGCTCCAGCTCAAAGGTTATTCAATATAAATTAAAAAATAAATTGTATAAATACATTGTTATACATATGTTGAACTTCAAAATCATTTCCAGCTCAAAAGCAGCTTCGATATTACAGTCAGCTCAAAGCACACAAATGAACATGTTAATTTCTTGGACAAGAAACGACCCTCGTTTAGCTGTCTACATCCACATTAAACAAGCGCACACATACACAATTACACACACACACACACACACACACACATGCATGACAGTCATGCAGATGAAGCTTAACGGGCACAATAAGCAGTCATAAGCATAACAAATGCACATGTGTACAAGGGTAAAAATAGTTGTTCGTGGGAGATGAAATTGTGGTTACAAGCGCTGTCAGCAGGCATTACGTATACGCAGCGTGGGTAAAATGTCGGAGTGCTGCATTGTTAATTATGCTCGAAGATTCAGCTCGAGTTTGAGTTTGAGTTGGAGTTGGAGTTCGAGTTCAAGT